GATGAAAAAAGAGCTTACCACAAGGATGTAGATGTCTATTGGCAGACAAATGCCTGGGCTGATACCGAATTCAGTGTTAAGTGGGTAGAGCAGACCCTCAAACCAGCTGTCAAAGACAACGAAAATAGCGAATTTTTGTTGTTTTGCGATAATCTTAGTGCTCAGACAGATGCATTATTTCTCAGCAAAGTGATGGTATTAAATGGAATCATTCGGTTTGGTGTGCCAGGTGCAACTGATATTTGGCAGCCTGTTGAATGTGGCTTTGGCAATATGATAAAACCCATGGTAAGAACGATGCAAGATGAATGGCTAGAGGACGACGACAGTAACATAGATCTATGGTTGGGAAACTCGGACCAGAAACTTGATGTGAAGCAAAGAATGATTCTCATCACACACTGGGTCGGCGAAGCCTACAATCGCTTGTCCGGAAAGCAGTATGCAAGCTCCTGATGGCGTTGTTTCAAAATGACAGGCTGTCTGATAACTGCAGATGGTTGGGAAGACGAGAAAATTCAACCAGAAGGGTTACATGGGTATACATTACCAGTGGCGCAGAGAGGGGGGCAGGGGGGGCAATTAAAATGTCTTCTTTTGAGAAATTTGAAATGCATTTAAAAATATATTTGTTAATATCGAAAATGATGGCAGTAATTTCATTGGGTCCGTACACTGAGTCTTGTTTGAATCTAAGGCCTATCAGCTTTATTTATTGAGTCTGGGGCCCCGAGAAAAGCTGGATAAACCTTAGATCAAATATTTTACGGATTCATCTTTTAAGCTGAGTTTCCCTGAGTTTCGCAAAATCGTACTTATTGGTGGAAGCGAGCCCTGATAAAAATTAGATAACCCATATAATCTTGTTTTAATCTATGGCCCGTTCAAGTGAGTTATGTTTTCATTTAGACTCGTTGCATAAAGCTATATTATATTTTTGGGGCCCCTTCCAGCAAACTAGCATGAATAAAGAACCGCTTACGTTGAACAATGACTCAAGACAGACTATCAAGCCTCATGACTCTTTCAATCGAGCACGAACTAGCAAGACAAATTGATTACGACAATATCATTTATCAATTTGCAACTGAAAAAGCAAACGTGCGCAAACGTTTGGAAATAATGGGCGTTTCTTATTTTATAAAGGGCGTGGTTTCGGAATTGTTTTTGTATCCGACTCTAGGGCCCCAACTGGGACTTTGCCCCAGGGCCCAATCCGCCTCTCGGCGGCCCTGTACATTAACACCACCCTTACCGATAAATGCATCAGAAGAGCCTATGCAATGTCAACTTCCGGAACCAAGGCCAGCTCCTGAAGATGCTGAGCAATCAGAAGACAATCTGCAGAGCGAGACCGAGGTTGAAGAGGAAAGAATTGATGAAGAGAATGATAGGGTTCTCCAGGATGAGCATGGGATGGTAAACAGAAAATTACTCGCTTTTTACGATAAATGGCACACTGGAACCATCACATGGTTCAATTCAAAGCTAAACGAATACCGTGTCCTGTTTGAAGACCAAAGCGAAGACTATAGAAGGTTAAATGACATAAATGGAAATTGTGGGGCTCATTCTGATGTTTCTTGGAATCTCATTCCATGTTTTGGCCCCAGAGTGAAAGAAACTTCCCTTTGAGAATTCCAAATTTGGCATTGGGATGTCAATATCAAGCTGATTCCTTGGAGATTACCTGGATATCTCTGATTCTAGTGATAAATTTACCTTTAAGGCTCTCAGGGCAAAGACCATTCATCGTTCACCCGTTCTCAATTTACAAATCCACCCTAGTGATAAATTAACCTTTAAAGCTGTCAGGGCAAAGACCATTCATCATTTTGTACGTCATTATGACCCTGTTATATTTAATAAGGTTCTCAACTGAAAGCCATTTACAAATCCACCAGTTCTCAAATTTAGCACTTTCAATTAATGGCTATAGCCAGAGGCGGACTGGCTCAGAATTTTTAACCGGCCACAAATAACTGGAGGGGCCAGGAGGGTGTGGTCTGAAAATTAGAGCATGGTCATGTGAGCATTTCATCATAATCGATCAATTTTGAAGCAACATAACATATGTAGAGCTAATAGCAAAGTTGAGCTGTTGATTACAAATGAGCGCTGAGTACACTAATTGAAATTTAACATTAAATAATAAAAATTCTGTCTGATTTGGATTTCAGTAATTTTGCACAAGAGACTTTCTCGAAGAAACAAAGTTAAAAGTTATAAGAAAAACCTCAGATGCATAAAGGATAGTAAGTTTAAATTACAGAATATCTGAGGTGTGAGGAGGAAGCCTTATCTTTACTAAAACTTAAACTAAAGATGGCAGACCTTTAGAGTGGGGGGAGGGGCTCTAGAAAAGTGGGGGACGCTTTATGTAGTTTGCCACCATTATCTTTGAAGTCACAACCTTTGATGCCATTTAGCGCAAAAGTGGGAGGGGGGCTAAAGCCTCCCCAGCCTTATCATACCTTACCTGAAATTTTGTTTTTATAATAAGAGTTTAATCATGAAAGATAGAGAATTAGCAAGTAGCATCATGGCAAAGGGGGGGGGGGATTCTCTGGGTACCCGAGCTTCAGCGGAAGAGTGGGGTTGAACAGCGGAATGCAGCGAGAGAAAAAATGGCTTCTCTCTTTCATTTTTCCTTCTCGTCTTTTACAGCCTTCCATCGTTCCATTTGGCGGGGCTGATCAGACATTTATGTTAATTTTGGTAAAAGATTTTGGTTAAAAGTTTCTAAAGCAGTAGGTCTACGCCCAGGGCCTAAAATAAGCGTGGATCTGACTCACTTTGTGGAGTTGTAAATTAAAATTGTGGACCTGTAATTGTAGAAAGTGTGGATTTGTAAATAATGCATGTTCTTAAAAGTGCAGCATAAGCGGCAAGCCTGCTAGTCCCGTTCCAGCCACTCCCTTGTGGGCTGGTGCCAGTGTGACCTGATCTAGCGTAATATTAACATGATATTGGCCAAAAATCGTCATTTAGCATAAAATCTAGCATAATCTGGAATCTAGCATAACTCTGGCATAATTCTGATATTATTTCAAAGAAACATTGTTTTCATTGATCCATTGTCTATCGTTACCTAATGCAAACACTTTACACCAGCATCTGTGGCTTCATTTTGGGAGTAAATTGTGACTTTCCACCTCCACCTTCTGGATATTGCCAGTTGTTTTGAATGGTTGGCAGCCACATATTTTATGGTTGGCAGCCAAATGTAGCCAGCTAAACGCAGTATACAAAAAAGCTAAATTTTTGCTAATTATTGGGAGTGATACCGTAATCAAAATTTGCTTTGTAGGTTTCAAGGGTTTTCACTTGCTTTGATCTAAAACTGTCTGTTATCTTTTGCTTTGTTTCATCATTCATCATTTGCAATTTTGAAATTATTTCAAAATTTTTTGAATATTATCTGTGCAAGCATTTTTGTTTCCTTTGCATTTTCGTTGTTTTTTGCAACATGCTGCCAGAATTCAGCCAAATTTTGCTTCTTCGGCCAAATCAATTTATGACGGCCAAGGGGTTTTGAGAAACTGCCAAAATGGAGAAATTTGGCCATCAAACCATGGGTCTAAATTGCCTTTTTGTTTATGAAGAATGAGAACACTGGGTTGTCAAAAAGGCCAAATTGCAACTCTGGCCACTTTTGATATTCTGAGCATGCATTAGCCTCTTTCTCGAGCAGGGTTGCCTTGATTTGAAATCTAGCATAATTTTTGCAAATCTAACACAATCTTATGACAAATTTGGCGTAATTCCAAAATTGAGATCTGGTGCGTGGTTTCTGCATTACAAATAAGATGGGGATAAAGATCATGCTTTCAAACTGGGCGAAAAGAAAATAAGAAGAAACAAGCACAATTTGTACATCGGTGAGAGAAGAGTTTATTTGCCATCTGTAACGAGGTTTTCGTTTATAGTATCAAAACTTTTTGAAGAACAGATTTGATGGCAAAGAATTTGATGGGCTGAATACAGTTAAGAACTTTCCATAAGTAAACAAGACTTAAGAAAGCTTCACCCAGCTTTTGTCCCGGACATTGCAGCAATCCCTAATTCTGTCGATGCAGATAGGCTGATTCCCACCTACAACAAGATAGAAGCAGGTAGGGAAAGCAGCATAGCTCCAGAAAACTTATCAAATAGATCTCGCAAGTTTCGAGTTCTGAGAAAAGCTGCAAGGATATGGTTTCAAAAAACCAAAAAATACCAAAGTCTGGGAAGAAAGGCTGATTTAAGGGAGTTTTTGAAGGTGAAAGGAAAAAAAATAACTTTGACAGAGATCCGAACAAACCATGTAAAGAGTTTCTTTTTGATAACTTTTTGCTCACATATTAAGACTTCGCTATATGTAGCTAATTTTCTTATTAACCCAATCCATATAATGTAAAGAATCAGCTTTTGCTACTTATACTTCATTCATTTAAGAATTTGCCCAATTAGGACATGCTATTTGCACTATGATGGCAGTTTCTATCTTTGCCACCCCCATGATGACAATCCCAGCAAAGTACCACGCCCAATTTTTATAAAAAATGTGGATCTGTAAAAATTTCTTATTTTAGGCCCTGTCTACGCCAAATATTTACTGCTTTTTGTACGCCTTTACAGAGAAGCCGTAAGATTCACCAGAAATTTTATTTGGCCTGGCTAAGAATTCTATAATGACACCCTTGGAATTAACCCTTTTCTGGAATTTTTGGTTTTTCAAAATATTTTCTGGTCCTCTGTAGCATGAAAAATTAAGATTTCGATCTATTTCAATGTCTCACGACGATGAATGCGCGTAAACTATGTATCAATGGAAGATGACCGTCATTTTGATCAATTACAATCTGATTGACCCTGGGCACCAGACTCTACATTCTACGCAGGTTAAAGAAAAATGCGAAATTATGCAAAATTCAACATCTTAAAACGACAATTTTATTGTTTACTAAGCATTCTCTATTCCCAATGAAATTCAGAGGATAACATTGAAAATGATGGGCTTGATCACATTTTTATTTTCTTCCCCAAATCACTTACATACATTCTCTAAATGATCTTAGTTCAGCCTAAAATTTAACTTAGTAGTACGTCATTCTATTGAGCCTAGCCAGAAACTCCTGCACGTAACATAATACTATATTTACAACTAAAATGTGCGACAATAATACCGATGCATAATTATTCCTTCCACAACAGATATAAATTATCAATATTACAGCAAGATAGTAAAACTTGCATAAGTTGGACTCGCAAAAGTCAGATATTTCATATCTCGGACAAAAATGCTTGGTCAAAATCCATCTGGTATAAAAGCTGACAATTTTTAACGCATAAATTTTTAAAGTCTGACAAATTTGTATGGTTGGAGGAGATCCGACTTTTGTGAGTTACCGCACCCCGATTTTACCAGGATGCGATAAAAGAATAAAATAACAACAGGATTGAATCTCGTTATGTCAGACCTTCAAGAGGTTAAGGAAATGGCCTTACCCAGCAAATGTCCGGCTTATGCGGGGTAAGACTTTAGACATGAGTAGGTTGGGAAAATCTGATGGGAATTGAAAGTCACCCCGACTTTTTGAAAGTTGGAGTTATCTGGGGTACATGCACAAAATAGCCTCCTTATGATGTATATAATTTCGTCCGACATCAAAATGAGGTAGCAAAAACCTCTTTTGTACATCGATCAGTAATCACAATCCAATTCATAAACACCCTTTTCTGACTTGCGCGTCTCAAGTCTGCTCGTCAAAAATCGAATTCACTAGCCAATAATTTTCCGTACAGTTGAATTAAAGAGTCACCTACTCCTTGAAGTCGAATTATTACCATGTATGTGTTGACCACTTCTATTCGCCATTGCTTCTTCTGTATCCTGACATGGCATTCAATGTGCTGAGGCAAACTGAGCCTCCGATTCAAACGAAAAACGTACCCAAAGCACAAAATACACAGCTTGCAATGGTTGATATTGATACGCGTTCCAATGGTAGTTCTCCTCCAATATTGCAATTAATCAACCTTCTTCTCACTAAGGAATATTGTTTGCCCTTTTACCTTAAAAAACTACCCATTTCCCACTCCACTAAAACATTATCCCCTTTTCAACAACTGCCCCCACCAACCAAGAGCCTGAGCCAACGCACAACCTAGTTTGAAGATTTAAGATTGTCAAGTCATTATCAATCAACGTTTTCTCAAAAAATTAAAAGGTACTTCCATCTCATTGCGGAACTAGCCTTCTCAACATAAACCCTAACATACGGGTTCCTCGCCCCAACTTAAGCAAAAACCCGTTAATAACAATAATAAAGTTTTAAAATTACCGTGCTATGATTAACTAACCAATTTATCCAAATTATGATCAATTATATGCTTTATTATAGTCTTAAAATACATGTCTATACGTCTTAGGAAATTTATTGGAAAACAATACATTAAGCAGTTTCTAGGAAAACAGATCTGTTTCAGAAGACCATGATTAGTATTGGAGAAAAAGACCAAATATCAAGTCAAATATTTGCATGAAATGTCCTAGGTATTTATAGAAGAAGTGGAATTATATTCTGCCGACCTTTGCATCGCCGATTGCACCCCATAAGTCGAATATAAAATCATCAGGAAAACCAAAATCACCAAGTTGCTCCTCCACAGCTGAGGCATATTCACTTGGATTTTCGATGTTTTTTCCAATGTCAATTAGCGTGTTTGCTAAAAGCAAAGAACACGTGAATATAAATAAAAATATTTATCAATAAAGAACAGTTACAGCTGAATCCTGATAAGTTGTGACTGGGATAGCTCGGACTTTCACTAAGTCGGACAGATTTTCAACTCCCATTGGATTGACCACTCCCACTGACCTTCTTCAAGTCAAAATGTGTACCCCAGATAAGTTGGCGTACCCCTTGACCCTTTTGAAGGTCAGACTTAACAGGATATAACTTTATTGATGATTGCATTACGGTAAAAAGCCCTAATAATTAAACTCATTTTTTCGGATTACACAGCAAAGTTTCTTACAAAAGGAATAAAATTTTTAAAAAGGCCTGATGAGTTCCTTATTAGATGAAAAAAATAGTAGGACCAGCCTGGAAAGTGATGACAATTGCGCTTTATGACAGAGTATAATGAGTTTTTACAGGGCACTGTTTTAATATATCTAAAAAGGCCCCTCTATATTGTCATATTATATGAGCACTTGAAAGAAACTGTCAAAGACTCAATCAGGCTAAATATCTTTTTTATATTTTGGTGCATAATTTTGAAATAGACAATATGCAATCTAAAATAAGGGAGTATGCAATCAATATATGCAAGCTTTTACTGTAACACAGAGTCAACTTAGCAGAGTGAAAAAATCTGCCTACATGGCAAAGGACACTATATGAATGGCTGGAAATAACTATTTTCATTAAGTAAAAATTTATATAAACATCCTTATTTGCATCATTATCATCATTTTCTGTGTGAATTCTTCCTATTTCGTCAGTAGTTTTTTCCCACAATGCATGGATATGATACTGGCATATTTTGAGGAGAAGTGGTTACATATCCATACTGACATAGCCATAATACTTCTTATGTTGCTGAAGGCAAGTGCAATCAGAGAAATCTGAAAAAGGGCATATTGACAAAAATTCTCACCTAATTCAGGGTCACGAATACCAAGAAAACTTTCCAATAAGTCATCCACTTTGGCAATTGCCACTGCTTCCCACGGAGGTTGCTAAAATCGATACAACAAAGATGTACTATCCATTCTGGTTACATCAAACAATGCAACAGATTACATTAACAATAACATTAAGTTCTAATTGTAAAAAATAAAATAATCATAGAAACAATTATCAATATTGAAAAATCTCTACATGAGGCAAAAGCCTCCAACAAGAAGCAACCTGTACACGAAATCTTTTGTCCAGAATAAGATCTCGAGCTTTTTGTCTAGTAATACTATCAAATAAAAAAAGTAGCCATCTCTCTGACTAGAACCATAATAATCACAAAAATCGACATGAAAAACTTTTAATCAAATTGTCTTATCTAGCTGTTTTAGCAACTTTGTTAAAGGTGACAAAATGACATATATTAGACAACCCAAAAAAGTAACACATAACAATTAAACTTCTTGGTATGACTATAATGCTAAAGCGCTTGGAAATCTATCTACAAAATGATAAGAACACCAAATTACCTCCATTTCAACAGTTGCTGGCCCTTTTGATCTCAAACGTAATGTTGCCTTTCCGCTTCCAACCACACTAGCATTTGTAGAATTGTTTTGATTCTTTGATTGACGTGGAGCTATACCCTCTAACAGAAAACAAAAAGGTTTGAAAATTTTCCTAATCTCTAGTAGTTTACAGGCCTGGTCATAAAGCTTTTAGCAAAGGAAGAATGCATCACTCTCCTAGAAAATTTTAGGACATTTATTCACACATAAAAAAGATAGAAACAAAGGAAAATTGATTTCAAGTAGCGAGAATTATGTTTAAGAACAATTTATGGGAGCAATCTGCAGCACTCCTCTAGCATCTGAGGGAAACCGTGAGGGGAGCAAGAGCTATGGCTCTCCTCAATGCCCAGGGATTAGTTATCTCACATTTAAATGGAAAAAATCTTAAGCAGGGAGAAAATTTTTGCTTAGCTGTCAATCATCGCTTGGAAATTGTAGTTATTGCGAAATATAGCTTGTAAATTTACCCAAGATTTTAAATAACATGCCCCACCCTTCATCATGCAATAAGCATCTGTAATAAGAAGCTATAAAAGTAATAATTCAAGGTTTTTGTCTCTGAACCAACTCTTGAAGAAGTTTCATAAAACATTCCTCAAAGCTCTGCAGCTAAATGACCACATGAGTTACAGCTAAACATGCATTTGAAAGACAGGTTCTTTAGCAAGCTTTTAAAACATACAATTAAGAAACACTAAGAAAAAATGGAAGCCAAAATTAGCCTCACCAAATGCCTTTTTTGGTTCCACAAGTTTTAGTGTGAACCGATCACCTTCCTGTATTTCTCGTAAGACTTTTGCTACTTCAAAATGGCGACTTCCAACAAAGCTGTTCTCGTTAATCATGGCTATGTGGTCTCCCACTTTGACTTCAGGATATTTTTCCATGATGCTCCCTTCTCTAACCTTTTTAATAAAGGGAATACCTGCCCCGTTGTCTGTTATGGTCAGCCCTAAAGCTGGTCCATCTTTGATTGCATCTATGTGCTTTGTGTCCCCTTGAACATGGGCAAATATGAGGTCATCCAGTCCTATTTGTCCACCCAGTAGCTTCTCCATGTTTACCTTGGGCGAGTTCAGTGTACAAAAAATAATCTACAATAGAAATGGCAATTACAACATGATAGAAAATACAATGTTCTGTTTGCACATGCTCAGAAAAAGCATATATATGATATGATTTTTTATTTTAATAGGGACATAGATAGTTAAGATACAAATTTAAAATCATATATATATATATATAACTGGAAATGTAAACACTTGCACGGATAAGATTAGATTGAAAACTGATAAAGCCTGCTTAACATCAATGGCTTTATTCAGTGGACATTTAAAAACCACAACAAATAAACCCCTTTGCATTTCACTCATAAGTTATTTGGAGCTATCATAAAGATATAGATGCATCTACAGTTTCTCACTTCAAAACATTGTGCTACCATGGGCTGAAAACAATAATTTTGAACAGGACTTGCCACGCAAATTATGAATCAGTGACAGAGTCAGGATCAGTGACTTTTGGGCAGACAACAAAATCTGATTTGTCACTGGTTGTCAGGGGGAAATGATTACATCTTATGGCTTTCCACAGGAAAGCCTGACAAACATTTTGCTTCTTGTGGTTGATTTCTTCAGTTTAACAATAACTACAGCAATGAAACAATGTATCATGTAGTATTTCGGTCATTTGTGTTCCTTTAGCCATGATATACAGTTAGATCTGACAAAATTTTGGTCAGGAAGCCTTTTGTTCAACTCTTTGCTTGTATTTATTGCAATCACATGACCTAAGTAAGGGGATGCATGAAAAAGGTGTATATGATTTTTGACTAGATTTCAGTGTGTTTCGAAAATGTTAGTGATATTATAATCTATTCTGTGCTGATATTTCAAGAACTAAAGTTGGTCCATATCATGCAGTTCCAGACTGTGAAAAATTTTGTCGTCATTACTTCAGAGTTAAATTTTTAGAGATGCAAAACATAAATCAAAGGTATTTTTAGCTTAGAGAAATGTAAGAATGAAAAGTACATGACTGTAAATAATGATTTAAAGCATTAAATTGAATCTGGAAATTTGTTTACATGTGCAAGCATAGATATGGGGAACAAAGGGGCTGGGGCAGTTGCAGCTCCACTAATCAGGCAAAATCTTTTACATTTCAGTCTCCATTTGAACATTTCTGTCTAAATGAAGCATTAATATTTTGGCAAGATTCATACTTAGCCCCCCCTATACACCTGCTATGCCCATGTGCCAAAACCATTACCAGAAATAAAATATTGAGCTTACTTAGTTGAAGGGTCAATGCTGTATTTATGTTTCTTGGAAGGGCACATTGTTTAGTATGCTCAAGGGCATTGTGGCCTTTAAGTCACAATACTGAGAGTCCTATATTGATCTTATAAGAGCTTTAAACTTTTAAAAGCTGAAAGGGAGAGGGAATGATAAGCTTTCATTGTATCAATCTAGATTTATTTCCTGAATAGTAGGGATGCAGAGGTAGATAGATCTTGTTACAGCCTACACTGTAGGAGCACACAACTAAAAATATGAGCCTTAGTGGAACATTGATAAAGTCAACAAAGTTGTTGTAGCTCAAAGTTCTGTCTTTCAACAAACTTGTGAAAGTATTGGCAGTGGAAGACACAAGGGATATACCATAGGAGGCTCTCACCATCCCCACTTTAGACAAAACAATAGAAGCTTCAACAAAGTGGCATCAGTTTAAAAATTTGATAGATGACAACGAAATTGATCAATCAGTTCCTACTATTGTTGCAGTCACATCGTATGGGCCATAGACACAATCTGTTTTGGGGTTTGAGAAATTGTTTTTGAAAGTAAGCAATACTAATTGGAAAGAAAGACAGACATTACAAATTGGAAATAACAACAATCTTTGTCTTTGACCCGTGTAAATGAGCAACAACAAAACAAACCAAAAATCCCCGTGCTTGAAAGCAAGATTTCCCCTTGTGTGCTGAGCTTTTGTAAATCGTCTGTGTCTGCTAATTCAAGACAAGAGAATGATTTATCATGTCCCTTTACTTAGGTCACATGGTAAAAATCAGTGTTATCAAGTTAAAAACAAAAGAACAAAACAACATGCTTTCTGACCAGTGCTACACACTACCTGATAAGTACAAACAGAACATTTGCATATTCACTTCTTGTAGCTTTTAAGATGTTCAGTTCAAGCAGCCAAGTTGCTCAAGTGTGTGATGATTTACCTATATCACATGTCACAGAAAAATGCTGATGGATGAGATCAAGCCCTAAGCATTAGAGTTCATTTATCACACAAATGCAGTGTGATAAATGAACTTAATGATGAGCTATACACTCATTTTTCAATAAACCTGCTACAAAAACATGTATTCAATGAACAATAAAAAAAATCAAGAAACTTCAATTCTCAAAGCAAAAAAATTGGTAACAATTGAATTATTTGAAGAAACTGAGAACCTTGAGATGTTGTGAAAAGCATCAGTATGGCTGGGTATCATAAAACTCTGTACATAGAGCAAAAAATAAACTTCCTTATCTAAGTACAGCATTAAGATTGAAAGTAAAGCAGTCACACTGCTTTCAGCTCTAAAAACCCTCCCAGAAAAGCTTCTGTTGAAATACTTTCAAATTTAGGACCACAAACTAAAATTGATAATATCATAACTAAGAAACTCTCAAGAAACAAGTGAGCATTGAAAATTCCCAAAGAAAAGAAACTGGAGAACTCAACTTTCACATTCTTTTGTTATAAAAGAAATGAATGTATCCCCTAATAACTATTGGAGTATGTCCTTCTTTGAGCAACACCTAACCCCTTAACTGAATCTTATTTAGACAGCATTGCAGACAATGGGCATCTTCACTAAACAAAGAAAAATTCTGGGAGCTTTCAAAACCAAAAATCAGCATTAAAAATTTATGCACTCCTAAAATGTGCAAGTAAACTGTGTTCTTGTTTCTTTTTATAAATCTTAGCATCAGACAGAACTTGCACAGGAAAGGTCTTGAAGATTCATAGAAAATAAAGCTTTTTAGTTGTGTTATATTGAAATTGCTGTGAATGAACATTACACTGTTTGGTTTCCCTCCGTTTCTGTCTCCTTGTAACCTACCACCTTTTGAGGGCAAAATACAGTGCATCATTATATGGAGACTATTCCAAATAATCACTATTTCGAAACTAGATTTTATGAAAATATTCTGAAAAATGGCATCACTACGAATGTTTAACACAAGACCTTTTAAAGGCTTTGCTGGGCTTTGAATTTTAGATAAGCACTTTATGAATGATACTTTTTGCAAGCAGATGGAATTTCAAGGGGCACATTTACCTCTGAAGAAGAAATCTCGAAAGCATCTCCTATTCTTTGATATAGTTCTTTTACGTTACTAAAATTTTCTATCTTTCCTGTTGGACTTCCATGGGCGAGCTGTGCGTGAAATATGAGTCTCTTTGCAAGCTGCTGTGCCTCCGATGCTCCATCGTCGCAGCCCTTTGTGGCCTGTTCTTGGTTGACTGTAGGGCCTATGCCGCCCTTTTCAGTTTCAGCATTGCCGACATTGCTTCCATTTTCTACATCCTCGTCAGCCTTTTGCAGTTTGGATCCGTTCTCTTTAGCCTTTCTTTTTGACTCTCCTTTGCTCTGTTTCGCAGTACCAAACGAACCTTTCTTGCTAAAAAGCGGCATGATGCTTTACTACATTCCAAATTAGAGCTCTGAGTCTTTCTGAGGACGAGGTTGCGGCACTTCGTTGAGCTGGTTGGGACTACTTAGTCAAATAAATCCAAAAGGAAAACGCAGAAAGTCCAGCAAAGTTTTTGTTTAGATATGTAATTCAACATCAAACCAAGAACCCTTGAGTTCAGACCATCAACAGTCCACCTGTTGTTGGTGGCAAAGAGCCATGGGTTCAGATCGAGGCAGCCTCAGAGGAATATGCAACCTGTATTGGCTTTTTCTTTTGAACTCAGGGCCCTTGCAAGCCGGAGCCGTGGCACCCCAACCTAAAAATTCCTGTCGGTAAATGTATGAAAAAAAGTTTTGAAAAATGTTTAAGAGTGGCTGCTATTGCTAGGCCAATACAGCGATACATATTTATTTTCCATTTCATTCCTTTTTTCAATACACGGTGTGTGCAAAACCTTACACAAGGTGCAACTTAGCAGATATATCTTCAATGTATCTGATAAAGGAATCTTTGTTAAAAATGAAATAAAGACAGGCAAAAAGACCTCAAGCATCTTGCCCCTAAGCGAGGCAATAACTAATCCGTGGCTGATCTCTTGGGGTTATGCATGTGCCTACACCGACTCTGCGTATAGAAACTAAAAACAATGTAGTTTAAAGAATACAATCTAAAGAAATATGTAATCTACAGAGTATGCGGAAATAAACTTTGTTGGGTGGGTGGTGTGATATGTGATTTACTGAAGAAGGAAGCGCCCATTGTGATATTCCTACGATGCGGCGATTTGCGTCAGCGTTGCTTAGAGCAGCAATTCTTTAACCTCCTGCCCACGGGCCAACTCCGACCCGCAACATGATTTCATCATAATTTAGTTTTCTTTTTCTGTATGCTCTGATAGATACCTTTTGGTTAACAATATATTGGTTCGAAAGGGGATATAAAAATACGAAATGCTTTAGTTAATCATTTGAACGTTCTATAGAGACATGATTTCCAAAATATCATTATCATTTAATTTAAGATTTAGTTGACGTACTCATTGTGACCACACCGTTTCCGCCACTTTCCGAGAGCCTGAGGACAGGCAAGATGTTATCTTTAGTTCATAAAGTTCACGATTTTAGCGTATGTGGCAGCTTTTATTTCTAAACTGTGTTTCATTTATTTCTTCTCTCCAACTTATTTTGCTTTTATTCAAATGTAAAAAATTGATTATTCGCTGTTATCCCAAGATAATTCTAAAACTTTTCCAGACCCTTCCTTTCATGTCAACATTGAAATAGATAAAACAATGGAACCTAGTTACAAAAAACTTTGAAAAAATTGCTCTAGATTTTCTCCCAATAAATTCAATTATATTTAAATTCTGGCCACCTCTACATTAACATTTGCGGCCTTTATGTATCGCAAAAACAATTATTACATTTTGGCCCATCCTTAAGATACGTTTTGCCGTCCCTTCATCTGACTTCCCGTGCATCAAGTCGACCTGACGAATATTGACATCCTAACCTAAAAATATACGTAGATAGGATAGATGAACTATGCTACAATTAGTAGCTTTTAGCACCCCCTCCCCCTCCCTCCCTCTAGAAAGTTATAAGCTTCAGGCCAGTGAATTCGTCTTTTGAAGCACATTCCCTCATTACTATTAAGTTGTTAAGCCAATCCCTTATTACATTAAACCAATTTCATGGAAAAGGCACACTAAATTTATTTTATGAAATATAGAATCTAACACGAAGTAGTATGCCTACATACCAAATCTCTTATTAAGCCTGGTAAGTGTGAGATCTCAACTTCATTTTAATCAGCTTTTTCACGCAAGCTATGTGAAAGTTTACAACTCAGTGGCCCCCGAAGAAAATCCACAAGTTCTTCCTGGCCTCGCACTCAAAATACTTGAGAATCCTGACCTAAAGTAAAGATGATAAGCCTTCGCCATTCCTTTCCCCCGTTCTTCATCCTTTAACATTCTGAGGCTCTGGCACCCAAGGTAAATGATGATAAGCTACGATAGCCTGTGCTCCCGGCCCTCAATGAGGAACTTCACAGAATGAGTGTCATAACAATTTTGTCAGGAAGCTAAAAGTTGTTTGCTCAGGCTTCTTCCTTAAGGCGAAAATAAAAATTTTAAAAGTAATGACTTTCTTGGTCCTTATTCTTATACAATTGTATTCAAATTTATTTACCTGTTTACTTTAAAACCCTCTTAACATTCTAAAGTCAGAACTACCAACAATGGTATCAGATCATTATGTTTTCAAGGGCATAAAACCTAGAATTTACTCCCAAAATCAATAAGATTTCATACTCAAATTATGCAATTCAAGAATCATACTCAAATTATGCTTTATCATCTTACTTAGCTGGGGATGTTCTGCGCTGAATTCTAATGAATTTGACGATTTTGGTGTACAGGTCGGTGGTGATTTTATCAAAATAAAAATAAGGTAAACCGTTTTATCAACCATTATAAAACTGCAGAAACCCATAACTCGCTTGAGCTTCTTTACACCCTCACTTTTACAAGGTGTGAGGTTTAATTCACAGAAATATACCGAAAGGTGGCAAAAGGCATACATTTAGAACTCTTCTTCTCAAAGCAAGACAGTTTGATATTGATATTACCGTTAAGCTACATTCTTTTTCGTTTAAGTGACTTACTTTTTCGTTTAAGTGACTTACTTTTTCGTTTAAGTGATTTACTTTTTCGTTTGAGAGACTTTTTCGTTTTAGTGACTTTCTTTTTTGTTTCAGTGACTTAGCGGTTAACTGGCAACAGATTGCAACCAAGGTTGTAAACATCGCCTTTAAATGTCTCAAAAATTTGGCAGCAAAATTCTGATTTATCAAAGGTCTATTAAAAGCATGCTTCAAATATTTTGCTAAATTGGTCCTTCCATGCAAAGGGTTGATTGCCAATTTACTAAAATGCCAAGTATAAAAAAGGTAGAAAGAAATTAAATAATTTGTGAATTAAAGAAGATAGAAAAAGAAACATCGGAGGACAGGAAGCATTTTCCGAAAAAAACAAACAAACTGCAATCGCAATACTTCTACTTGAGATTAATACCCATAATGCAATACTAAACCTTATTACAGACATTTACGAGAAATTGTACCAACTTTCTCGAACTTAGTGATGGTAGCATTTTCTGACTTTGCTCTCCAATATCACACCCTTGTCATCTTCTTTTAAATCTAGAGCACATATTGTATTGTGCTGTTCGCCACTCCCTGGTAATCCGACTGTGCGTACTCTTATTGACAGACTTCTCCCACCAGCTTTAAGCTTTCTCCTCATTCCAAAAAGAACCTTTTGCAATAAATACCTAAAAAGTACAAGATACTTAAATACGTAAGAAAAGCTAAGCTAGTGGCTTTTCCTTAAAAAACATCTAAGAAACAGAATAAAATTGCTGTTTTCCAATGGGAAAACGTGAAAAACGCTAGGCAATCTGAGAGTGCCTGTTCCAATTTTTACATTTGATAACATCAGGTTTTGCCGATTATAAACAAGTCCAAGATTTGTAAACTGAAAGCGACTCCTTTAAAACGTCAAAAATTTGCCATCTACTTCACGATCACTTTCTATGTTTCTTAAAAAAAGAAATGTGACACGTGTTGTCTTTTCCCTGATAACTTCTAGTCAAAGTTTAACATATTGTTAATTATGCAGGAAATATGCCCACAAACAAACATAACAAAGAAGGATAGTTGTTTTGTTAATTAATAATAAAATGTCTACTTACTTTGTGTCGCTTTTTTCACTCTTTTTAGCAAGAGCAGTTTTGATCGCTTGAACCAGTTTCGGGTCGTTTTTGTCACTTCCTCTAAGAATCTGTCTCAGAGAGGTAGCACAGTGGATCAGGAAAAAAGCAAACAACAAGACAGAAATTTTTGACATTTTGAAAAAGCAAAGGAAGACTGATACCACATCAGCACTAGAGCTTGTCCGTATCTTAGGAGCTTAGTCCCCTGTCCTTGTCGCTTTTATAGCCAAGGCAACCTTGTGTAACCTGTAGAATAGATAATATTGTCAGGTGTAGAATAGATAATATTGCAATGATTTGTATGATTCTAATGCGTATAAAGTATACATCATGCCTTAAGCAAGTGAACTACGAACACAACTGTTGGTGTGCATAAATGAATAAGATCGCAGAGCAAGCAACATCATTATTCCTTTTGGGTTATTTTGAAACAAACAGCTTTTTGGAGGATGGGCGTGAAGCATTAAAACCATTTTTCGTTTGAAGCATTAAAAATTACTTAATTTACATGTTGGAGGATTGGAATGAAAAAAAAACAGTCGGGAAAATGGCTACTTATCAGTGTTTATGAAAAAACAATTATGAAAGCAGCATTGTTGCTCACGTCGAATAAGTAGCATAGATACGGTAATGATGATTTGTTCCTTACATCGTTCTCCATACATTTTTCCTAAAAGCCTTGATAAAAGTCGTTCAACAAAACTAAGCTTTGGCAAGGAGCCTTGTCGTTGAAGGATTATTCAGATCAACACCTTAGATGGAAAAGCAATTTGAAGGATATTTTCTTAGCTGTTAGAGAAACATTTGCATCAAAGGTTTTAGTCTTTAATGTTTCTTTGAATACGTCTTGGTGAGGATTAATGATCTACTATAAAGTATTCCATGACTAAATTATTGTTAACTTTATAAGGAAACACTCGAATAAGACCACACCCACACATAAAACTGTCCGCTGTGGAGCATCTCGCGCAAGTCATATAGCTCTTGCTGCAGGCTGTCGAGGTTCCTTCCCCAAATGGTAGCTAGCTGTAAAGCCTACTTAGAAGAGTGCTACACAGGTATCTTGCATCGCCATTTCAATACGTTTCAGGAGCATTCCTATTTTAGTTTACCAGGTTTTTCCACGCATTCATTATCTCTGGTGACCAGTTACGTCATTTCATGATCATCAAAACAACGTATACCAAATCCTTTACATCTTTGAACTTCAAAAGAAAAGTGAATACAGTCCATTTGCTCGAGATCTAAGAGGTTCCTACGAAGAAATACTTTTCAACAACCTTTCTCTTGGTGCACGTGGCATGTACAGTAGATCATGAACTTTTTCCATTCGAATATGCTGAAAACTGCACCAACTAGTCGGCGCCAAGCATCGTTTGCAATTCATCCATTCTTCTAAGTTCTTGACGTAGAAACATCCATGGCTTCCACCTGAATTATTAAAGCCTCAACTGAAAACTATTTTGATCAGGTTGATTTTTTGGGTATGGTCACAAAAAATTAAAACAGTCCAGCCAATTGAAGGTTCCCTTTTATTATTGAAAGAATGACAATAAAGTTGAAATTTTTATCATTTTCATTATTATCCTAAAACATGACACAAAGATAGTTGAAAGCCTATTGGTAAAGAATCGAGCTTGGAACATATTTATCTTCACGTAATTTTTATGAAAAATTTGATGCTATTCGTTGAAAGCATAATTTATAGAAAGCATAAATTGTATATCCTTAAGCTTTCAAACGGTACAGATCGTTCGTCCGTCATTATGTTAGGGTGCTTCTTTTCTATACTTAGAGATAATCATTTTTTAAATACTGGAGGAATGAGACATGGAAAAATATCAAGTAGCCAGCTTACAGTTTATCTATATACAAAGCATCAGGATTTAAACATATTTACAACAGTCAAAAGTATACGAACATGAAAGCTGCTTGGATGTTACAACGGAAACCAAAATGAGCCTTGTCTCAAATATGAAGGCATCGTGTTAGGAAGAATAATCATTGCTGCTGATGAAAATTCTGAATACTCTGCTTTTCAAGGAACATTAAACAGTAGCAGCAGATGGCAAGCATACTAGCCTTCACACTACATAAGAAGCAACAGGCCTCTAACTTCCAGGAAAGCTGAAAATAATACCCATGTAAGATTTTATGCATGAAAATAAAAACCTCCTACACAGGATTTTAATATCAAAATCGCTGTACAGAAATTGGAATAGATAGGCCCACTGATAACTGACGAAAATCTTGCTTATACCTAAACTACGGTATAAATATAAATTTCTCAAACAACAAAATTAAGAAAGAGGGATCTCGGAAAGAGCAACGAAGAATCACGATTGACTCTCCCTACATTCTAAAACCAACTGTCTTAGTTTTTGGGAGTTTGAGCCTATCGAAGTTGGTAAACAGGGCTTTGTAACCGTTGTTGATGTTGATGTGCATTTTCTTATTGACTGTGATTCAGTTATGCCTTTGCTGTGTTTGTATCCCTGTGAACTAGGTGTTTTAATATCTTCCGACGTTAATCTGACTGGTTTAGCTGGCAACTGTTTACGACGCGTGACTTCTTTTCGACTTTTTGTAGTCGGCGCAGAAGTTGGAGGAGATGGAACCGTGTGCCGTTGATCAGCAAATTTCCTTGAATGATTAAAAAAAACAACCTTAGCATCACAAGATAAAACACTACAGTAATTTAGTCGTACTATACCATCGAATGTTCTACGATAAAATTCATCAGGTTTCATCATAATATTACTCTATACCTTTGGAGTCAAGACTGTCCAACTCGATATGTTGATAAGCCGAGGGTTCAAAACATGAACAATATATAAATGCACTCATACGATTGGTGCATAGAACAGAACAGTTCTAAGTGGCAACAGTTCTAGGTATACGGCATTATATGACAGGTAAACTGTTCCAATTTTTATCAAAAGAAACTATAACTCCATTGGCATTGAAGGAGATCTCAGTCCACATAATTTTCCACATACCAGCAGTTACTGAATTGTAAATGGATTTAATTGTGAAACATAACAAGATACTTTCAAAAGATATGTTCTGCTTCACACTCTTTTGAACTAGAGGGCAGTGTTAACCTTTAAATTTCTCTGTTTAATGAAAAATGCACCATTTCGTGTGCATCGAGGGTACAGGCAAAAATTCAACTTCTAAAAAATATCCTGAAACTGTTTGGAGGAAATACAAAATGAAATAACGAACTTATGAAAACGTTTGCGATCAAAAATAAGATATAAATGACCTTCAAACAGTAAAACCCCAAAGCACGTTGTTTACTAATACAATCAGTTCAGATCCGTGGAAACAGTTTCCATGGAAAAGTTGTTTCCTTGTGCAAAAATCCGTTGGTGATGTCATTTCAGCATGGCAAAGAGCATCGTTATCTAATATTGAGCCGATAAGCTCACCATTCATTCATCACAGCTATGTATCCGTTAATTCATCATAATCGGACAATATTTTAAGAAATGGGTAAGGTAGGACAATAGAAGGGCGTGGCACCGTAGCGCAGATTAAAAAGTTTAAGAGCAAATGCTCTGTATTAAGCCCTGTTTACACTACAACTTTTCACCTGGGTTGAGCCTGGGTTAACGTTAACCTGGGTTAGAAATTTTGTAGTGTAAACGCAGCTAACCTGGGTTGACCCCAGGTTAAGAACTTCGAAATGCAGTGTAAATGCAAACCTGGGTTGAACCCAGGTTAACGATCTAATTCGCGCATGCGCTTTTTGACCCATGAAAGGCGCCAAACCTAAACAAATTCATCTCGGAACGCTCGTGCAGAAAGATCCTTCAATTTAAAGCAGCATATTTTGAAAATGAATGAAACAAGGGTTGAAAGAGGTACACTGAGGGGCGACGATGAAGTCATGTCGTTTATCGAAATGTGGGCAGACGAAGACATCCAGCAACAGCTAGATTCATGTATCAGAAAGTGTCCTTCACAACGAAGCGCATGTGTGACGAATCTAACCTGGGTTCAACCTAATTTTGCGTTTACACTATACTTTGTTGCAAATGTAGTGTAAATGAAAGTGGGTTCAACCTGGGTTCAACCCAGGTTAGCATTAACCCAGGTTAAAAGTTGTAGTGTAAACAGGGATTTATATCAAACTAAACACAACGGATCACAGAAATTGGAAAGAATGTCCCCTGCTAATGAGAGCCTATCTTCGCCCTGCACACATTGGAGATCGAAAAACCAATAGGAAATGGGGACAACTGATTGGCGTCATTTCTGCCAATTATCGTCTCGAAAACTCCAACATGAGTTTGAATTCATATTTTTTAGAATTTTTTATTTTAGACCATAAAATCTCATATAATTACAAATTGAATATAAACAAACAGAGTTCAGACTGTAGAACAAAAACAAAAGTAATACTGTATTAACTTGTTGTCTTCTATTGGCCGTACCTCAGATTTTATCTCTTTGATGCCGTATCTCAGAGTTTACAAAACCTCTTTTCCTTTATTGATATGCCTTTGGTTTACTTCATGATTTTACATCAACTTGTCCCATTTGTAGAGTTCTTATTATTGTTTTTTGATTTGAAAATAGCTTCAATGCAAATTTGAACAAAAATGGTGCTTTGCTAGCAAAAATTAAACCATAGCCTTGCCAAATACAGATCTAAATATACGTACATGGAATTCGACGTCGGAGATTGGCGATGTTCGTGAAGATGTCCTGCTTTGGAGGGGTTTTCAGCAGGACCTGAAGCAGTTACCAAGAGCTCTTTTTCCAGTCTCAAGCCAATGTCTTGTAAGTCTGTTATATAAAGAATTTCAAAATCAGTTCTCATCTAGTCTTGTCCATGTAAACAAAACATTCCAGAGGCATCAAAATTACGTATACACTGAGGACATATTATCAGCAAAATAAATAACCAGAAAGGAAAAATTTGAACAAAGAATCATATCAAGGAGGAATTTTTTAAAAATAGAATGAAAACAAACGAATCTATCATGAAAATGAATTTTTGAAAATAAATTCTTTGCTATTTTTCGCAAGTTTTGTGACAAAAACCTGTTATGTTAGAAAGGTACTAGTGTAACATGTGATTGTTATGCATATTATGTCATTGTGTTGTCATCTTTGAGTGAGTTTTATCGAGCTTTTGTTGTAGACTGTGTTCACTTGCTAATCTAAATGTTCTAACTTACACACATTAGAGAGTTTTACATTGAATTGAGATCAGGATTTTATAGGGGTGAATACTGTCTCTATAGAAACACGTCCTTATAACATGACAACAAGAAACTACATAACACTTCAATCAATTCATTTACTTATGGCTCCCTAAATATCACATAATTGCTGTAAGCCCTCAAAATCTGAGAAAGAAACCCCCAACTTTCATGATAAAACAAAAAGCCAAGAATTTCAATAATTCTAAATTGTACATTAATTTCTAGTCCTACAGACCATAAAGAAATTGTACACTCCTTAATTTTCCAAAGCAAATACCTTTTAAGCTGGGCTCTTCCACGCGCTGTTCGGCAGATGCGCGAAACGTTGACTCGTCAAAAAGGCATTGCTGAAATACAACAAATATAAATGTTTATAGTATATGTAGAAACACTTAAAAGGCCTGTCCTTGGTATGACAAAACCGAAGATCCATGAAATATATGATAACCACAGCAATGTAGTGCAGGGATGGCGCCAAAAAAGAAATGCTGGGGGGGGGGGCTGTAATGTTAGAGTGCCGACAGTGAGTGAACCACCCACAAAATATCATTACATAGCATCATTTTCCCTGTGGTAATTCTAGTTCAAAAAATAAAATAAAAATTGAAAAAAAATCAAACAATGAAAACAAATGAAAAAAATCACGAAGTGGAAGTTATGAAAAGGCCGACATTGCTTAAAATTTTTAAAAAATTGAAGTGCCGACGAATGGGGCTTAATTAATTTTTGGGGGACTCCTGCCCTCCCCCCAAGCACCCCCGTGGCGCCATCCCTGATGTCTCTCGTAAATTTAAATGCCCCTCGTAAATTTATTGTATCACATTTGCCAATCAAGCTGGCAAGACCGGTTGCAACATAATTTCACGTTACTATCTGTGCATAACAACTGTAGAGAAATCTTTCTCATGCCTTCAAATAAAATAAGTAATTGTTAGAATCAAGCAATATTTCAAAGATTTACAAATATTTTGGCATTTTCTAAAGACTGATATCAGTTGAAATCATTAAATTTCAATCCACCTTATTACGCAAAAAGTCACAATTAAATGTCCGGAAAAGATTTCTTTCTTGCCTTCTACCTTGCCAACAAATTAGGGCCCGTGAGCTGATAGAAAATGTAAAATGGCTAAAAAATCCCTTGAAATTGAGGAAAAGCACGACCTTACAAAAGAATTACTTCTAGATCATTGCACGAATAAAAACTCTTGTCTGTTAGGAACAATTCTGTCTTGCTCTATATTAAAAACTTAAATGATAAGGTGATGGAATACCTGCAAAAAGGCAATATCTTCGTGTAAGCCATTTCTTTCTTCTTCTAGACTTTCCCTTCAAAAAGTAAGCAACCTCATGGAACTGATTTTCAATCACATCCTTAAACAACCATAACAAACAAAATCGCTCATCGTCTCTATATATGGCCTCTAGCCTTCCGGAATTTCCTGCCATCAACAACTGTTTAGCATTGGTTTTCTTAATATAATGCTGGAAACACTGTCACGCCATTAAGGGGGGCGGGGGGTTCCCGTTCGGTCCCGTACGCTTGCAAATCAAAGTTTTCATTTAACTACTTTGCATTCATTATAATGAACAAGCATGCTTTCTTGATTTGTCACCAGACATTATCAACACATAGCTATTTTTTTGATGGTAATGAAAATTAAAAAAATAATCAGCTGAATTAAAAACGATAATTTTATAAGTGTACAAAAAGGCGAAAAAGTATCAATTGATTTCTAAATGCTATTCAACGTACAGTGCCCCATCATCAGCTAGAAAAACTACCTTATAATATCTGCAAGTTCCTCAATCTCATTTGTTGATTTCCCTGTGCCGCTTTCTAGGAAATGATCACGGAAACCAGAACTGCATGAGCTTGATCTACCGCTAGACATTGGTCGCAACGGCGTCTCTCTCCCATCCCGAGTGCTGCGAGCAGTCTGCGGCCGCTCCTGCGATGGACTGGACCTTTCTAGAAGTGGAGAACACAAATATTTAGTATACATTATCTTTATAATGCATCAGATTTTATTGCAAATAAGGTTAGAGAATTAGGTCCACAGAAACTTCAAATATTACTGATTCAGCTAGCTCAGTTAACTGAAGGTTATTTCTTGATCAAAGATTTAAATAATACCAGCAGAACTCGAAAGAGGTCTCAAATTTGCTTATTGGACAAATTTTTTCATGACGTACAAAATTGTGTAAGAACCCGCTTTTCTGACTTTTTGTAAATGTAATTCCATAAGTAGTGCAAAATTTGAGATTGCACGGAAAAGCAGAAACATAGCACACAAAAGTACATTTCAACCTGCCTTTGGTCATTATTCGACATTAATACTCTTGGGAGAATCTGATGAAAATTAAATGGCACAAAAAACCAATGCTTCCTCCCAACGAAACTAAAAAATCTTGACATGATGGCACCAAGAAAGGCACATGCGCCAATAGAAACTTCAATTTGATCATCACTTCTATCATACTAAAAATTTCAATTTGTTTTTTTTAATAGAACTTGATAAGATACTGTTTTAATCTTTTCCTTTTCTTTTGTACCACAGCCCTACTTATTGCTTTTACTAATTTTGGTAACTTTTATATCTTAATAAAATGGATGGGTAACTCCTGTGTTTATAACTGCGAAATAAGTTTTGTTGCTTTCGTTTTAAGGTAGTTTTGGCCTAACATGTGTCTCCCTAAACCATTGCATTACTAAGAACACTTTATGATCACAAAATTTCCAGGAAGCAATCCTAAGTTTATGCTGCTCCCTGAATACCCAAAATGATATAGGCCTGGTACCAGCACTGTGAAAATAATGAAGATGAAAGAAAAGGGCTGACATAACTTGTAACATGTAACACGATCCTGTTACAGAGGGGTAACCAGTGCTAACAAGAAAGTATAATGCAAAATTGTTCATTAACCAAACTGTCATTAGAGCAAAAAAGTTACAAAGTTACTGGGTAAATAAAGCGAAAATAAAAAACCCATAAATTGTATGCTCACTTTTCTATAAGAAACATGCTAAAAGTATTGGGTACTGTGCAATCAGAAAAGATTAAGAAATTTCAGCACAGGTAGGAATTTTGTAAAAAGCCAAGACCTACAACTTTTTTGAAAGCCAATTAGTTTATTGGCTGGTTGGCATAAAACTTCAACGTTGAGAATAAAAATATACTTCTCCTATCTAGATATATCTTAAAACGAATCACTTGAAAGAAATGTCACAGAAATTTGAAAACTATTGAAAAAATTAATGAAGCTTGCTGTTTGCAGCTCCATAATCTATCCATCCCCAGCAAGCCCCAAATAATGACATTAGCAACACCATTTTAAGAGACTTTTAAGAAACAACAAGTATTGAAATTGCCTAAAGTGTTAAAAAATTGGAGAACTCAACAACAACCTTTGTTCCTCATAGGTGTAGGGTGTAGTCAACTAGGTGGATATAAAAATGTGTTTTAAATTGTTAACAGGTGTCATATATTTTGACAGTACAAATCAAAAACCAATGTGATATCACTTGTATGCATACCTTTTTCAATACAAATGTTTCTAACAACTTCAGATTGAAAAGGGCTAAGACTTCTAATGTCTCCTCTAAAATGCAAAAAAAACAAAATTTATTAAAAATAACAAATGGCTGGTCTGAAGATGCCAAAAAGCATAATTAAAATGATCATAAGTGCTACACTTCCACTAAGTATCTATTTTTAGTACAAGTTGCAAAAGAAGAAACCAATTGTGCAAAACTAACTTATGGGTACCTAATGAGAAACGGGGTACAAAATAAAAATAGCAATGATAAGTAAAGGTTTTTCTAAAACTTAAAAACAAGTAAGACTGCTTACTTGCAATAATTATCAGATCTTTCTTGCAAGAGCTTGACAAACAATTGTATCTGTTTGATCAAATTTTCCCTGACATTTGGAGGTTCAGGTAAAGCTAAAGCTGGAAAAAGAGATTCAAGTAATACAATGTTTAAACATATCATGTAAAGACATGACTACTACAAAGCATATCAAACATTACAAAATTCAAGGAATTTAGCATTTGTTTAAAAATTCAAGGAATAAATGCATATCAGTTTAAAAATGTATGGAAATATAACTGTGAAAGTATAAATTTTGAAAGAATTCGATCTACACAATACTGTTAGAATTCAAGAGCAGAACATCTAAACCTATTTTTTGTTATTAAACTTTTATTTAAGAAATATGACTTTGTAAAAAAGATTGAGCATTTCATTGATCATTGCTGAACTTTCATTTTAGTGAGAAAATTTGGTTTGTTTGACTACCTTGGCCTGTAATGAAGACTGTATGAAGACAACATTTGATGAACCTTTAAAATATCATAAAATTTTTGCATTGCTCTCAGAGTTTGGTGAAAAGCTGGATGCTTAAGGTGGCTTGGCAGAGGAGTCAAAATATGGGAAAAATTTATTCTCAGTGCAAGTTCCTTTCACTAAATATATTTTCCCATTTTTTGATGCTGTCCATTACTTTGTTTCACACAAGGATCTTGTAACAGTGCATTATTTGTATGAAAATGCTTCCTGCCACTGATCACCCATCCCCAAGGATCCAAAAATAAGCAGAACTTTAAAAATTCAATATGTTCTTGAAATGTTTGATCTTTTTGAAAAGGCTTTTTCCTTTTTAGTATGATCCTTTCTTATAGTACTAAAATGAGAAAGAAAGCTGGCTCATATTGAAAATTCTAGAAAATACAATCTTGTAATATGTTTTTGCCTTTTTTGTGTATCTTATAATCAATGTAAAATTAAATGTAGTTTGTATTAAATAGTTTTTCTTATGTAATAACTTGTAGATTGGATTTAGGATTAATTGATAAATGAATGAAAACTGAAAAACTGAAACTAGAACTATTTAACTGGTCAAACATCAAAATGTTCAAAGTTTTCTCACCATGTCTTGGGCCATCATTCTCTTCTCTGCATTCCCTCCAAATCTCGAGCAATGTATCAACCTAAAATATTTATCATATTTATGTAATCCTTATTAAAGTAGAAGCAACTGTTTAAGCTTCTTACAGAAAGTTGAAGAATAAATTTAATGAAAAAGCTAAGAATTACCTCTTGATGAAGATCTACAGTCTCTTCAATTAATGAGCTCCCGATCAGCTTTTTAATTTCAAGCCTTTCTTCCTCCAATGTTTGCTTTTCGATGTAGGCCCAAATCGATTCTCGAGGCTCGAAAGTCTCAGGTGGCTGAGGTGATGTGAGTGCATTCATCGTCTACACACGCAATATTTCATAATGAAAGCAACATCCAATTCTGCTAAAAAAATGAACATCAACAAATAATGGTAAAACCCCGAAAGACAAACTATAGTCCTTTCCGTTTCCAAGATATAAACAGGTCTTAGAAACGAACCCATTTCTTTTAAGCCTCTTTCTGATACTGGGCAGCTTGGCGGCATTAATGGGCGGCATTAGCTACGGACTTATAAAAATCAATTTTATATGACTGTGAAGACCCGAAATTGGTAAAATTCGGAAATTGAATAAATGTATATGCCAGGATCTAATTTGCATTGGAAATTTGTCTTTCTATCTATATGGGTTTTTGAGCATAGGAGGCCAGCGAGAAAACAAAATGAATGGAAATAAATAATCATTCGGTGACAGCTGCATGTCAGTTAACTGAAAATCATTGGAATGATCTTTATATATTTTCTACTATTGCATAGATGAATTATAAGAAAAAAATAAAATCTCATTGGTGAAAACAACTCTATTTCGTGTACATAAGTGCAACCCTTGGGGATATATTTCCTAACTAACAGATGATCACTATGTCTATCATTATTGGTAGTCACTATTTGTCGTGATATGTTAAACAGCAACAGCCAAAAAAAAAAATAAACAAATTCAATTTTGCAAAAATACTTAGAACATGGATAGCTGAAGTGTAATTTATCAGTTATGTATGCCAATCAACACCAAATGGCTGAAAAACAGGCAGTGGAGGCAAGAAATCACTTCTTTATTTTCCTTTCTGCTACTTGAATTCCCACAATACAATTGATAATGAAATTCTCATTGTGGAAATTAAAAAACACTGTGTTACTGACAGTCATTATGTTTAAATACTAAACCTTTACATTGAGATTCCTATATGTTGTGTTAAAATTTATAATTAACCAAAAGAAAACAATGGAATAATAATTATTTAATTGAGAAGGTGTCTCATTTTAAAAATTAGGTAGATGGTTTAGCTTAGCCATTGATCAAAGGTTTAATCTTAAAAACAGACTGCTTATTGAGTATTTTACGATTATTTTATCGTCTAGTGGAACCAAGTCCCACACAGATGTTCACAAGCTATAGAATGAAAGGATAATGAATGTGATAAGGTAGGATTTAGAGTCCTTGGTCATCTTATCTTAAAAAGCACGCACGGCTTGATAAGTAGTTTTTTTCTCGCAGATTAAGCAAGTCACTGATATTTAAGAATACATGCTCAAGTACATAAAACATAATCTAACATAACAAACATAATCATATAAATTCAAAACCTTTTTTTCAAATGTGGTGAAGGATATTTAACTCCATGTTTGGATCTTGTCAAAGTTTCTCTTTTTCTTTATCGTCTCATGAACGTTTCTACAATCAAATATTGCCAGAAAAGGTTCTTATGTGTAAGTGACCTAAATTTGAAATTTTAGCCTAACAGGTTCTTAAAACCCAGATTTTTAATATGTGGATTTTTAATGTATTGGCCCACATTAAGTATGAAACTCGGAGTTACAATTTTCTACATTTCAAGGGTTCTACACTCTATAACATAAGGTACTACATAAAGTAACGCCAATCATTTTTGCACAGCCCTATAGTCTCGCTTAACATTACACTTCTGAGTAGAAATAAAGATGATCAAAACGTTCCAAAATTTGGTCTACGATAGCATAGGAAAAAGTCAGCATAAAACAAGTAGAGAGTCTATCAACTACCAAAGTAACAACAAACTGTTGAAAACGTGCTTCTTTATCAACAGTCTATTTACAACATAAATTGCTTATTTAAACAGCCAGATATAGGCATACGTAATAAGAATGAGAAAAATAACACAAAGAAAAAGATTTTGACAACTTATGTCAATAATGATAACAGTGTTATCGTGTGTTTTCTGTGAAACACTAAGTCAAAGCATTGATTTATCAAACGAAGTTTTCCCACGTGTTATGCTAGTCCTCAAAGAAAAACACTCTGACAAGACGATTTTCATTAGCAAAACACAAATCAATTTACCATCAGAACAATTAATTCAAGCGAGCAGCTTATGATGAATGGCTTTCTCACGGAAAGCTAAAGGAAATATCTGTCCTTTTGATAAAAGAAAGCTGAAAAGTTGACAACGACAGGTTTTAATTGAATAGCAATTCGTCAAATTACAAAAATGCTGTAGATTCTGTAATTGAAGAAGCATGACTAATAGAAACCTGATTATACCTGGTACCTTTTTGCTATCAAAGATGTGTTTTGAAGTATAAGCTATACAGTTATTCGCCAAGGTCAAATCCAACCTTAAGCAATAGCCTTGAAATGACTGTCATGACAAGACAAAAGACCTTGTAAACAGCATAGGGCATTGCTAGCCTATAAGAAAATACAGAAAGTCCAATTGATATTGACAGGCAACACCCTTTTAAACTAAGGTAAAACTTATGTTAATTTCAATACTCCGTGGCTCAAACTTGCTTCAGGAAATCTCAATTTTCACAATAGGAAAGAAATGTTAGGCAGTTTCTAGAACTTTGAGACTTTGGCAAAAGAGAGTGGCGTTTAAAAGCGGATGGCAGTGCATCATTAGAGGAAGCACCATTTAAAGGGACAAGACTTTCTAACAGTATTGAAAGATTTTTGCTAGCTGTTTATCACAAAAGAGAAAAAACAACTGTTCAATTTGAACTCGCACGAAATCCCGTTTAAAAAATACATTAATGTTTTTTTCAATGTCACAATACATACTCAAGTTGAATCCAAGTTGAATTAAAAACTGACCTACTTTTGATCTATGAATAGAGGAATAAAACTTAAATTTTGTTAATTGTTTTAACAAATCTTGTTAGAAGCGACTTCGCAGTGGTCACTAATTCTCTTTTATCAACAGGAGTCTAGCAACAAGATGATAGGATAATCTCGCATACAGCTGTAACTACCAGCTTTTATAGTGGCGTTTCATATGTGACCTGAGTCACTTTTAATATCATTACAAATCATCTATTCATTTTGAGCCCTCCCGCTTGATGTTGTCCAAAACATTGCGAATTAGTACACTGGCTGCTAACCACGACTCCTCACACAAAAGCACCGATTCAATATGCAAGGAGACGTCGCAGCGACAAGATCTATGTGCAAAAAGCCATCCTACCGTGTAACAGAATCAACATCTAGTTTATTGTAAACGGACTAAGGTTTATTTATTTTCGTATCTCTTCATTATTTCTCGAATTCAGATCTCTCACTGGCTAGTTAAATCTGGCTCAGAAGCTGGCGTCACTGTAATTTATTTTTGATTACATTGTTTGACATACTACTGGCAGTAAACCACTTTCAGCATTGTATCACAAAGTTATGTCTAGACACATTCTAAAAGACTTTAGCTGGACATTTGATTTGTTTCACTAGATTCATTAGCTTTGCCTGAGGGTTTGAAGATAGAACGATCATAGGCATTATGGATTCGCTAGCCAATGTTATGATCAGGAATGGTAGAAAAAAGATCGTCTGTTCACTTATAATTGCCATATTACAAGCCATAAATGCATCTATATATTTGCAAACTGCTTCACAGTGTGTACATGTCATTGAAAAATATAAACTTTATATCAAAATCTCAGTCTAGTTCGAAAGTTTTCGACAAAGAAAGAAAAAGTTGTTAGTTTAACATCAAACTGTCGTATGATTGTAATTTTCTCCATAACAGTAAACGACATCAAAACCGAACTTTCACAGGATATTTCTTGATTAATGGCAAGTTGAAAATGGTGTAAGATAAATATTACCTACAAAATATCTTAAGCGTTTATGGAAATATTAAGACAAAGAACGAAACTCGGAAACTTCTATGGAATTCCGGTGATATATAGAAAGCATCTTTTGTAAAGAACGATACACATCCACACGAGCAAGACAAACGACGGAGAATTCCCGAAAATGAATTCATCTTCCTCTTTAAAGATGTTAGCATTTTTCGACTTCTACATTGTTACCATAAACAACCCTTATGGCATGAAATGGGTTGACATGTGCTGTTTGTAAGAACCATCGAAGCTGTGGAATCTTTAAATATTGTAAAAAGGGCACAAAACGCACAGAACAAGAGATAAGATAGAATTAGAACATAAATGATTCAAAAAATTGAGAGTTTTACTAACAGATATGAAGTTAGAGCATGGAAATGGCAATAGAGCACTTTTTAAACATAGGATCCTGAAGACGCCCTACATCCCCTGTTGCCAAGGGATCTCTGAAATCATTATCCATAATCAACTTTAGATTATAGCATTTTCAAGGCATATAGCCTAGCCTGTTTTTAGTTTATTGTTCAAGGACATTAGAATGCAAACAGCTTTGACGTGTTGCTTTTGATCTAGGTAGCTTTTGCTATTCACGAAGAGTGGGAAGATTTAAAAAATGAACTTCCAGTATGCGTTTGAAAATTGACGTTGTTGCAGCTTTCGCCAAGGATAAATCTTTCATATAACTCCTTAACGTGTGGTGAAATATCACAAACTCTAAGCTTTTTTAACAACTCCTAGCTCTAGGAAAAGCTTATAGACTGTATGTTGATGACTTTTTTAGAACCTATGTATGGTATTGCATTGTAAAAGGTTAAAAATTTATGCTATCAATGCACATAGCAGTTATACTTAAAGCGTTGATGTCAAAAATCTTAAGCACATCATAGAAACACTGTCTAATTTGTATAGATGTATTTATTAAACTTTACTTAGTACAATCATTTCTTCGGATGGTTTTACAGGAACAGTACTAAGCGAGTAAGTAAGCTTTAATGATTGCATCAAACTTAGGCTCCGATCGATCAAAGCATTCTTAATACTAATATAACATGTTTCCTAGGACACCCATAATTACTTGTCATGCATCATCCTATAACAGTTAGTCTTAAGAAGTGTTCGTGAATAATTTGTGAGCTTACAAAAGACAGTTTGCGTCCTACAGAGGCGCAGTTGTGACACCACTGTTATTTTTCTGTATGAAAAAACAAAGGTGTACCATCAAAGGGCTCCCCTTCAAACCTGCGAAGCCGATTATGGATTTCTTCTCTGTTGTTTATAGTGCCTTGGCATGAAGTGTAACTTATAACAGCTACTCTGCGTTTTGGGGTTGCTTTCGGGATTCATCCAGAGGCGAAATTATAGTGAAGAAAATCAT